CTCCATGGCAACATGGTTTAACCTAGCCGCCACTGACCGCTTATGAGCTGTCACAGAACGTGAAATTGCCAAACTCTCGTTGACAATATGACTGCTGATGCTGTGAAAGATGAGATATGACGTTGCATTTCCGTCAGAGAGCACCAATTCCCCGTCTGTACCATCTCAAACAGGTAAATCCCTCTAATTTCACGCTTTGGTCCCTGAAGCCTTGAGGACGGCGCAAAGGTTCGAGCGCTTGGTTTCCCTCATCAGCCGTAGATTCACCTTAGCTCGCACCTTGCGAACCACGTCGACTGTTGAGGAGCTCTCTGGGAGATTATGCCACACCAAGTACAAAGCTTGATGGAGTGGCTGAGTTACCTCTGGACCGGTGCTGCACGATGCCTTGCCCGCTGGATGCCATCTCATCAACATCTCGTTCGAGAACCAGGGACAGGCCGTATGCTTTGAAAATTGAGTTACTGGGTCCCGGTTGATGCGAGCTGGCGACTCGGTTGTCGATCCGTCAGAGCGGTAGGCTCATTTGACATAGTCTACAGATCTTGAGAGGTGCTCAATCTCGCAGGTGAAGTCGGCCCTCACGAAAACCCAATGCATTAGCTGGAACACAGCCAAGTCGTTATTCTGTTTTTACCGCATCTACATGGCTGCACAGCTTCGGTAGCTTGGTTTCTCGGAAAGCCGTGCCATGGAACGCCAGTGCAGTATCTGGCCAGTGTACCGTCCACTGCGGCGATTCAAGCAGACATGATCTTGTCGTTGGTGTGGGAACAAGTCCGATGATGCGCTCCCCTGCAGACCAGGCAGACTTGCGACTACTGTTGTCAGCAAGCATACGCCTATCGGGATGCAGCATCACTGCCTGCTTGGTCGCACGACAGCCAATACACTCACCGATGGATGCATCGGCAGTTTGTCTCTAGCCGAGAGGGTGAATCACAGTATATACTGTCATGTCGTGCGTGAAAGCGTCGACTCTGCTAGCCAATGACGATGCGATGCTGCCATCGTGAACGGTGTCGAAATTTGCGATCAACAGTTCGTCCAATATCTACAGCGTCAAAACGATATGCAGTTGCGCATGGAAGATTGACCACTAACGGGAACGCCCTGCGTAGGTATACAAGGAGGACGACCGAGGGATGTCGACTAAACGGGGCGGCCATTGATGGACAACGCATCCACGGATAGCTGCTTCGTGGACACACCACATACCGCACAGCAGCGCATTGCACAAGTGATGCTGTCCAAGAACATGTCGTGAGCTGGCTCGAGTGACAACAAAGCTCCTGCACCCTGCGCTTATCTCCTCGATGCGATCCGCCGACAACGAGATGGAGTTGCAGGATATCGATGACGTTGAAGAGTCGCCATTGAGGTGCAGCATGTCGAGCAAGGCGTACTGCTGTCAGTCGTCATCACAACTTCTGATGTCGTTTCAATTTCCACGCCCGTTGCTGTTGTCATGTGTCGCCGTTCGCTCTTGCCGTCTTCGGAGCACGTCTCGCAGCTGCCTCGATTACGTAGGCCAGACAAGCCCAATGACAGCGAGGGTTCGTGCAGTTACCAGGGGCCATGCAGAACATAGTTCCTGTCGTGGAACCCTCCAGCACATCGCTCTTGCCTTGCCACGAACACTTGCATTCTGCCCCCGATACACGAAATCCACGTCGGCTAGTATTCTGGAGGAATGCGCTGCAGGGAGCTCGAAACGACCGTTGCCCGCGTCGCGTCGACGTGTTCAGACGAGAGCTTTTCGATGCTCCAGGTCGGCGGTGCGCGGGCTTGAGAAATAGCTTTTGGCCACCTCACCTTGCCGCATCGGAGACTTTTGTACCTTCAACAAATGCTCTTTCTCTCCTCCCCTGGGCCTCGCAGGGACCGACGCAAGACGATGCTAGCGACAGGTTGATCCCCGCCTCTGGAATGCGATGGCAATGATGTGTAGCTGCTGGAGCGTCTGCAGTGGCGGCACCTCCCAGCTTGGATGGACGTCCACTTGCAACTAGGCGGGAAGCCAAGCACTGCACCAGTCGGGCTATATAACCATCAAGCAGCGTCGAGGTAGGTCTCACGCGAGACCTGTCGTCACTCCTGACCTGTGTACCGGCCCATGATTCAAGCAGCATAGCTTGCGCCGGAACTCCAGGCTGAGCCGAACAAAAACAACCATCTTCTTCCCTCAGCAGCGCCAGCGAGGTAAGCTCCAGAACCGCGCGTAGCATCAATGCGTCAGCACGTGTCCTGTTCACACCACAGCTGGGGGAGGCGTAAACGAGCGGGCGTCGTATACGGCGCTTAGGGGCATGAAACGGTTTGGTGCTGACCGTGCGATAGGCTTCCTTGACGAGTCTCGCGCGGGCGCTTCTCACGATCCCTCATGCAGATCTCTGGCTATTTGACATCCTGCCGAAGTCAGACGTAAGCTGGATCCTTGCTTTTGCCAAAGCGAATGACCATCCGAGCTTGGTCACACAGAGCTAGACAACACTCAACACGATTCGGCATCTTGCCGGAGCTACGGGATCCACCACCTATACATACGCCATCAAAACCACTCGTAGAACAGAGCAGAGCCACGCCGAGCGCTCATCTCCGCCGACCGACCGCGAGCGCATCGAGCGCATCACCGACGATATGCCACCCGCGAGCGACTCCTTCATGCCCCTCAACATTGAAGACGACGTCGTACCAGAATGGCTGGATTCCTTTACTCTGGTTGCGCCCCCAAACACCGATCTATGGAGAAGGCCATCTTCGGGCGACATCTCAACCGCTCCCATGCTCTACACTGCCTTGAGCAATCCCTTCATCGTAGCAGAAGTCACGGTCAAGGGAGACTGGCAGCTTGAATGGGATCAAGGAGGGCTGGTAATATTCGCAGGCGCACCACCGGGACAGACAGCGACGGCATCAACAACCGCAAGGCCGACATTAGAGGTCCCAAATGTTGCAAACATCCGGTTGGACGACAGCGCGACGCCGAGCTCCGCCATCTCTCTCTCGCAAACCTCAAGTAATGAGAATGTTGAAAGCTGCGGCACGACAGCCTCACACAGCCCAACAGACGAGTCAGGACCCAGCCCCCAACTAGAACGTGGGCCGCCACCACCATACGACGCTCCTGCGCCAGCACCCAAGTGGGTGAAAGTCGGGCTTGAGTTCTGCGGCAACGTATGCCACGCTACAGCTGTAGCCGCCAATAGTGAAGGTGCCGATTGGTCTTTGAGTTCGCTTCCTCCGCTTCAACAACGGCTCAAGGAACTGCGCGTCAAGATGGAGCGCATCGGCTACGCGCTGTGGGTGTCGTACGAGGAAGAACCGGGGATTTGGAGGAAATTGAGAGAAGTCACTTGGTTCTTCTGGGGTGTAGAAGACAAGGCCGTACGCGTTGGCGTCTACGCGAGTCGACCTGCAAACTTTGGCATCACCATGTGGGATCACAGACACCGTGTGGGACTCAGCAACGAACAGCGAAATTTATACGTCGAATTTGAAGATCTGGAGATCCACTAACCAGGCACGTCGCCCTGTTTATTTCTGTCGGTCTATCATTGCATGCAGCGGCTGTTCGTGCAGCCCAGGATCACGAGCAGATGCTCTCTTTGCTTCACACAACCCTAGCATGTCTACATCTCTAATCGTCTCTTCGGCCCCTACTTGGTAATCAGTTTTGAGTTTCGGTTCTATGTACCTATTCGCTTTTCGCCGTTCGCGGCGTTGCCTCGGCGCTTGCCACCATCTTCAGCTCATCGCAGCGTCGCATCCATCTGTGGCGACAATACCTGCACTGCAACTTCTCGCATACATATAGGGCTCATTTTACTGTAATCGCCTCTTTTCCTCACGGATGACGGATCATGTTGAGCGCAGATCTGTAATCTCGTTCTCAGCTCCGTCATCACAATCCAGTTTCGCTTGCCTTCTAGGAAATATCTATTTATATAATAACACAAGTATTTGGTACCTATGTCTACACGCTGCAATGTAGGATTCCCAGTCCTATCTAGACCTCGCGTAAGAATGTGAGTCGGATGCGCCTTGCATGTGGAATGTTGGTGATCGGTACCCATGCGGAGCTGGCGCGTTTGGTGTCGCGTCTTCACGCCGCCCCGGTGCCCTTCACAGACGGTGTAAACTCAGCACACTAAAGTAACAACACAGGAGAGGGATCACAGTCTCGATCGATCCAAGTACTTGAATGGCAGGCCCGAATGGTGCGTGCAAACGACCAAGCTGATGTTGAATCTCACAACTTTGAGAGACATGCTACTTCCACGACGAGTACCACGGAGTCACTGATGCTATCCATGGCCAATCCCCACTGAGTGTTCACGAAGATTAAATCTCAACTTTTTGCTCGCTTTGAGGAGCTACCTACTCGATCCTTCCCGGTTGGCTGGTCTTCCACCCAGAACCCCGTACTAGGGAATAACGATGTTGCTTGTCTATATTCTATTGGGCCTTGCGTATCATGCAGCTTGTGGATACGGCCATACCATGAAGGGTCGTCAGGCAGAGTATACTATGACCAACGACGCTCACGGGAGCTACACCACAGCTCCGTTGGTAGAAAGAACAACTTCCTTCCCTACATCATCATCCAATGCGGCCAGCACTCAGACGTTTAGCTTTCAGCCATCTCAGCCCGTACTACCGGCCAGCGTACCCCCCACAGTTGCCTGCTGGGCGACACCGTACTGCGATTCTATCCTCGTGGACTTTGCGCACTGCTACAACATCTCTGGAACGCTGAAAAGTCCTAATGGCGACGATGGACGAAGCGAAGTTTACCAGCGTTGTCTCTGCAACGACCGAGGAACTGTGTACAAAGAGTAAGCGTCCCTCAAGTCACATCCCTCTCCGGCCTCCTCTAACCGACCAACAGCATCCTCACGAACTACCAAGCGCAAAACACAGACAACGTAACGCAGTGCTACGCATGCATGAAGCAAGCCGGCATCGAAGTAGACAAGAACAGCGAACCCAGCCTACAAATGCGGTACAAGATCCATAATTTCTGCAACACCGCAGTTCCGAACCTGTACGATTTACTCGCTCTATTCCTCGTCTGGCTCAAGTCGACCGACGAGCCCGTGGACAACAACACCGAGCTGGGCAACATACCGTCGATATCTACTCTGGCCGATCGCTTCACAAAGACAGACGTAAATCAAGCTACTACAACGGTAGCCAGCTCGGCTCAGAACACGGAGACATCGTGGCTGGGGAGTACGCTTACTTCTGGCGACGTGATACCGACGCAGTACTTACAGCAACTACCGAAGCACTGGCCGTATACAAGCTACGGCGCGGCGAGAAAGGCAGGCCAGACTACCTCGTTCCCGTTGACAGACCCCAATTCGACAAGTCAAACGGTGGCATGGCTATTCCATGAGATGCTGTGGAATCCACGGCCCCTTTTCACTCCGCCGTCAGCGAGGGGAGAAGTGTATGAGCCAGGGCTTGCGGACTGGACACCAGTGTTCAGGAACGGTGCTGCCTTGACTGCTATCCCTTCTGCTTCCGCCGCACCCGACATCTCAACGACGAACGTCGAGTCGAGCACATCGGATCCCACAGCGACGGCAGCATCAGAAGGGACGATGATGCTGGGTACTTCCACGACTTTGACTACGCTGTCTTCATCTGCGACGACCGCTCTTCTTACAACGTCCGTCATCATGTCCACGTCCATGTTGATAGCCTCCTCTGTTGCGATTCTAACAACAACGACAACAGCATTACCGCCGACCTCTTCGTCTCCTCCATCTTCTTCTTCTTTTTCTTCTTCTACACTCACCTCACAGGCGCTCGTTCCTAATCGTCCAGAGCACACACAATACCCTGTTCTGAGCAAATCACACGATGCGAGAGACGTCGCGACTGCATCATCTCGAAAGGCACGTGTAGATGCCACGGCTGGGCCTAGGCAGGAAACTGGGGACGAGGAGTCAATTGAGCAATTGTGGGGTGAGATAAGAAGGGTGAAGAAAGAGATGAATCGCTGATATTCGATCGCGAGAATGCAACAGAGGGGAAGATGTAACAAACAAACCAATATAAAGGCTATTCGTGTCATAATTACGTATTAACTATCTGTTCTACTTATGATACCACCTCCCATAATGAAGGGGTTTTTCTAGACACGCTTTATACCGAAAACGCCAACCCATGCCCCTATATACAAGTCCTGTAATGAGACTCCATGAAGCGTATATACATAATGCCGTCTACTTCTTCTTCTTGGCCTTCGGCTTCACTACCTCTTCACCTCTGCAACAAGGTACGGGCCAATGACGCAAATAGCGGTCCAGACCACCATCGCACTCTCAACAACAATCGTGTACGGCGTCTTCCAGATAGGCACCTCCTGCAACCTGACGTAAATCGCGTAAAACGCAACGTAGAAGAAGTGGTAGACAAGCATCCAAGGGCGTGTGATCAGTCCCGCAAGCATACCACAGGGTTCACTGACGCTCTTTCCGCCGCGCAGGAAGTACTTGAAACAGCCCTTCTTGATCAGCTCGAGGTACTGGTTGTTGGCGGCGAAGAGGCTGTACAGCGCCATGGCCAGAATGTTGATGACGGATGACCCGTCCTTGCGCTTCCAGTGGAAGGTTGACATGGCGGCGAGGACGGCAGAGGTGTCTTCGAGTGTGGGTACGTTGGCGGGGGAGAGCAGGTTGGATAGTAGGACGACGTCGTTGAACGCGACTGTCATGCCGCCGCCGGTCAGGGGATGGCGCATGTTCATTGAATCGCCGAGGAAGATGAGGCCGGCTTGTTTTTGCGTCGTAGGGGGTAGGAAGCTGTTGGGCATGGAGCGTAGTTTACCCGCTTCGATTGCTTTGCGGAAGGCGGGCTGGACGCAGGCGGGAAGTTGGGGCAGCGCGACATTGAGCATGTGGTTCTTGACACCCCCGTTTTTGGGGCTCGCCGACGGCAGGTGTTCGGGTATGTCGACAAGAATGCGCGTCTCGTGTGTGCCGATTTGGTAGATGAGGATGGGGGGTGCGTCGGCGAGGATGACGTGGCCGTGGTTGGGCATGGGCAGCTCGGCGTCGATCATTTCGAGGCCCCAGAATTTACTGCGCACTTGGGGTTGGTTGGGGATGTATTCTTTGCGGAACTTGGAGGCGTAGCCGTCGGCTACGAGGGTCACGGCGCCAAAGTAGTAGTCTTGCTCCCCGGCGGTTTGACATGACACGCCGACGACTTGGCCGGTGTAGTCGCTCTTGACGACGGAAGTGACGGTGGTCTCGACGACGGTGACGTTGGGTGTGGACTGGGCCTTTGCGCGTAGTTTGGAGATGAAGCGGCCGTGGTGGAAGGAGCGTCCTTCGGGTGCTCTCGAGGGCCCGGAGGTGATGAGGTTGTCGGGGTAGGGAATGTGGACCTCCTCCTTGCCGTAGAAGATCTGGTAGCCGTGGCAGGGTATCGCATCGATGTCGTCGAGGCAATCTGGGGCCGGCTGTCAGCGTTTCACCCTAGACGTGTGCTAGGAATGATTCAACGTACCCCTCATGCCCAGCTTCTCCAGAGCATTGACACCACCGGGCTGTAGCAGCTCTCCTACAATCCTGTCCGGCTCCTTCAAGCTCTTCTCCAGCAGTATGACGCTTCGGCCCTGCTTGCCGAATGCGACAGCAGCTGCGCACCCCACGATGCCCGCGCCGATGATGACGACATCGGCTTCATGGTGCACGCGCCGCCTCTCTTCGCGGGAATCGCATGTGTGTGTAGGTTCGATGATAGGGACGGATTGGGTCGATGTGCCTCTGTGTCGCAGCTGGGGGGACGGCGAGGCAGAAACTCCAGGCGGGAGCTCTGCAAGCTTGGAACCGGAGTACATTGTGAGCATGGTTGCGGTTGCTGGGGTCTGTGGAAAGACCCTGTTGAGTGAAAGGTAAAGTTGATTGCGCAGAGGAAGGTGCGTTCCAAACTCAGTGGGGCGGGTGAGGCGCCGCGATAAATACTGGGCGATGTGCAGCGTGGAGAAGGAGTGTGTGTGTGGAGAGTCAATCAGCCTCGTCGAAACGTCACACGGGCGGCGCGAGGGTAGAAATAAACTTCGCGGAACGTCAGGTCTCGTGCAGATCAAGGGTCCGGCATGCAACCGCGTCGTCGAGAGAACGAATCCGAGTGGCGACCTCACGATCTTAAGCCGCGAGATTGATTGCAGGGATCGCGCTCACCGCCATGGCCCTTTCTGCCAGGGGTATCACTCCCGCCTGGGCGATGTGGTGTGAAGATCATCTGATCTTGTCGGAATCCGATCTTGCTCGGCTTTTCCTTGAACCATGGCTGGTCTTCGGGCGGGTCTTCGGTCTGCGGAAGGTGTATGTGTTGTTCGTGAAGGGTGATTGTAGGGTGGGTCGGCAAAGACATGCACCTGCATAACATTCACATGTTGGCTACCAGGCACCCGCATCAAACTTAGAATCGTCGCAGGCACACCACAGCGACAAGTAGTCGATGCAAATCTCCTCTCTGTGTGGTATATACGTTGCGCACAAACTCTATACATTGGGAATTCAGAAAGCAACTCTGCCGAGCTGAGTATATTCAAAGCGCTGCACAAATGGCGCCGCGTACGCTACGGTAGTTAATAGAAATTACAAATAAAGCCAGTACATGGTGTGATGTAGGTATATAGTGGTAATGAAGCAAGCATGCGTCTCGTCGTGGTGAACCTTCCGCCTTTTTGCTTTGGCCCACACAAGTCCGATTAATCCCCGAATCGTCCAAGCCATTGTGTTGTCAATGTGTGCCAGATAATCCGCCCAAACGAAGAAAAGATAGGAACGAAGAGCCCCAAAGGATGTGCCAGTACGCCTCCAAGGCCCAAGGAAACGTCTCGCCAATAAGGGGCCTCCGCAACGCGTAGGAATTGGAAGGGACGACCGGTGGAAGTTGTATGTACGTATGTACGAATATACACAAGATCATGAGTACGTCTTGATGTGTTGCTGAAGCTTGGCGGTATTGCTATCCAAGGCGTCTAGAAGGCAGAGCCGGGGCGCTGGCTTGAGGGGGGGAACATCGGCGACGCCATTGGGGTATCGACTTCCATGATGGTGGATTGCCGGTCAGCGAATTGTGTCTTGCCGTCGACAGGCTGGGCTGGGCCAAGGTGCGAGTTGCGGTAGTATGCCTCGTAAAACTCGCTCAGTCGGGCATCCTGCCCCTGTTGACCCGGTGCAAGCAGGTTGCTTGAGTAGGGACGGCGTTCCGCCTCGTCGTCAGTAGACGCAAGGATCGATGTGTGGCCGGATTCGACTGTCGAGGCGGCAGAGGCTGAGCGGCCCGGCTTTTGCTTTTGCAAAACCTGAGTATGCGAGTCCTTCTTTTGCGCTGCCTCCTGATATGCTTGGTATGCTTGGAAAGTGCTTAGCCGGTTGCCACTGCTGTAGATGCTGCTCGCGTCGCTTCCGTCTCGTTCATGGTGTGGCGAGTAGGTTCGTGCTTGTAGTTGGGGTTGGAGAGCGGGTGACGAAGGTTCAGAGTCTTGGAAGAAAGTTAGGGATGGCCCGATATATATCTACTAAATGCTAAAAGTACAACAGACAACGCACCAGGAAATCGCGTTACCTACTCGGCTCGTGGACCTGCACGCGAGGGTAGTCGTACTCGGGCGATGGAGAGCGGGACTCCTTCCGCAAAGCATGGCCAGGGATAGATGGCAACTTGGCTGTGGGTGGGTTGTGGGGCGAAAGTGGTGTCGGTGATTGACCAGGCGAGTTGTGGTAGGATCCTTGCTGTGACTTGATGGCGTTCGCATCTCCGGAGTGGTGCGATACCATGAGAGCTGGCGCGTATTGCTGGCGGTTCAAATCGGCTGGTGACATGGACCGGGGAGATGTGAAACCGTCGCTGTCGCTGTCGGAGCCACCAAAGTCAGGAGAGGTGGTGCCACGCGGGTGACCGGGCGAAGGAGGAACTTGGAGAGACATGTCGACAGCGCCGTTGTGGTTGCGTCTTCCACTGAGCTCGGCCTCAGATGGGCGGAGCTTCATAGTAGGCGGTGAAGCCCGTCGTGTGGAGGGTTCTTTGGTGGCGTTGAGGTTCAGGCTGAGCATGCTGTTGTTGTTGGACTGTCCCTTCATGAGCGGCGAGTTGACGCTTCCTCCGACCAAGGTGCTAGTGCTCATTGTTGGGTTATCGCCCATGACAGATCCTGCTCTTGAAGTGGGTCGCGACTGGGCGACTCCGGCGTAGAATCCGGCCTCGATGGCGCGAATACCAAACAGATCACCCTCATCCTTCTCGCGTTGGTTCAGTTCAACAGTGTCCTCCTTGGGTCCAGCCTCTAGCTCGGTTTGCTTCGCTTTCTTCAACCTTGCCATTGTTAGTTCACGTCAAGTGATGTCAATATTGGTACTTACTTCTGACGAT